GCGGATTCGAACCCGCGACCCTCAGGTTGTGAGTCGAGCGCCTTATCCACCTGGCCATGCCGGGCCAGATATTATGGAAGTAATTGCTCTCAAATTTGGTGATTAGTATCAGTTTTGCTAACTGTCTTTTGGGGCTCAAGAAGTAACTGCTCTATATCCTGGCAGTTAGTATCAATGTTGTTGCATGGCTAATTTAACTGATACAGAAGCATATATTCTAGAATTCGATTTGTTAATATTGTGGTACAGGATGGTATCAATTAATATAACTTTTTCGAATTTTATGTTCTACTTCCAGTTCAGTTTGGCCGCAGAGAGTCGCTCAAGTAAACAACTCAACCTTCCTTTCTTTGGTGCAAACAAGGTTCGGGTCCAATAACTGCTCAGTAGGCGTGTTCTCTTAAAGGGAAAATTGTTGTTATTTCATTGTGATTTCTTGAGATAGAATGCTGTCTTTTCTGTCGGCGAATCGGGTAATGGTGGCCCGGAGTTTCTTTCTCACGTATACGAAAAGTGTTTGTTTTGTTTTTTGAATTTCGCGCAAAGCTACACGAGGGCTATCTGCGCTAGCCGTCCCTAATTTAGAAGTGTAAGATTAGAGGGAAGGCAGCTAGTCATCACCACCCACCGCCAACTCTTGGGCTACTCTTTTACCAACGAATAGTGGGATTGACCGTCACATTACAACGCCCCCACAGCTGAAAGTGCGAGCATGTTTGGTGGGACGGGGATTCAAACCCGCGACCCTCAGATTGCAAGTCCAGCACCCTAACCACCTGGACATACCGGGCCTATACGAAAAGTGTGACGTGAATAAGTTGGCTTTGTCATTGTTTTGGCATTTAAAGCCAGGTTCTACCCTGTTAATCATGTTACAGTTTTTCATAGATATTTAGATTTTTAGAGCTTACCTATAGATTTAGCTAAACTTAACTTTAGCTAGACTTCTTAGCAATTTGAACATAGCGTTTCTTGGTCTTCAGGTTAACTTCGTTTTACTTAAAGTTAAAGGCTTGTTTTTATTTCAACCGGCGAGATGTGAAAAAGAATCTTTATTGGTTCTCTCTACCAGTAAACTAAAAGAAGAAGAAATTATTTTAGTTTACTGGTAGAGAGACCAATTTTGTATCTGTGTGAAGTGTTTGTCTCTGATTGCGTGTTTTTGTGAATAAAGATTGTTGGGCTGTACATATTGTGTATTGCCGCTTTCACGTTGACGAACTCGGTCGAGTTCAGAGAGAGTCAGAAACATATACTATGTAACGTAGTATCTTTCGAGCCTCCTGTTAGTTAGCGGATTCACACTGACTGCTCTGGAGGAAATCCATGCGCTGGAGTATATTATAATATCAGTGTTTTAACTATCTTTGGAGCTTATATAAATTCTCTTATCAAAAAACTCTAGGTTACACTTTGAAGCTTGATGGTTTTACACAATGTACGATTGATGTTATACATTTTTTGATACTTTTCTCCTCAAAATAACTGAATTAATTAAAAAGAACCAATTCAATAAGCTCGAATATACAACTTGGGAGTTGTAATGGGAAGTACTACAAAACGTGCCACTATATACCTTTACTGTTAGCGCATTACGAAGAAAATTCGATTAATTGTGCGACTTGAAAATTTAATCTACAACAGAGGATGTGAAGTTGAATATAACATTAAATATTAATGACCAATACTCCTACATAAGTAACTTATTAGGTACATACAATTCTAGAAAATTTCGACAAAAAATATCCATTATTGTATGTCTACATAACACCGCTAATAGATTGACTTGGTTGTCTGAGCTAAGAAAACTATCATCTCTGTCAAATGTACTAAACTCTTACTATCCTCTCTGGATAACCTATTAAACCTTTAATATCATCTTTGTCAAATCTACTAAACTCCTACTATCCTCTCTGGATAACCTATTAAACCTTTAATACCATCTCTGTCAAATCTACTAAACTCCTACTATCCTCTCTGGATAACCTATTAAACCTTTAATATCATCTCTGGATAACCTATTAAACCTTTAATATCATCTTTGTCAAATCTACTAAACTCCTACTATCCTCTCTGGATAACCTATTAAACCTTTAATATCATCTTTGTCAAATCTACTAAACTCTACTATCCTCTCTGGAAAAACCTATTAAACTTTTAATATCCTATCTGGCAAATCTACTAAACTCCTGCTATCTTTTCTGTCAAATCTACTAAACCCTTACTATCTTCTTCGGCAAATCTACTATACAACTAATATCTATATTCTCTGACAAATCTACTAACTCTTAATATTTATATTCTCTGGCAGATCTACTATACCCCTACTATCTATATTCTCTGGCAAATATACTAACTCCTAATATCTATATTCTCTGGCAAATCTACTAAATTCTTACTCACAAAATATATGGATTTACCATAATTAGTAGTGAAAAGTTTGTTATCAATTTCGCACAAAGCTACACAAGGGCTATCTGCGCTAGCCGTCCCTAATTTAGCAGTGAAATACTAGAGGAAAGGCAGCTAGTCAAAACCACTCATCGCCAACTCTTGGGCTACTCTTTTACCAACGAATAGTGGGATTGACAGTCCCATTATAACGCTCCCACAACTGAAAGGGCGAGCATGTTTGGTGGGACGGGAATTCGAACCCGCGACGCGCAGATTGCTAGCCGAGCGCTCTAACCACCTGGCCATGTGAAAAAAGTAAAGAAGCCAGTATCCGTTGGTGCACTACTAACATTTTGTAGAAGTAAGGTAAGAAACAAAAACAGCTAAAACCCGAACTTCATAGTAACGATCAGTCTTGTTTATACTTCAGTAAAACAG